TGAACAACCACAGCTTTTTTTTCCCCCCTCTTACTCTTGGTTGACAATCTGGCCTCACAAAGGAGAAAATCTTTTGAGATCTTTTGGCACTGTACTTTGGGAAATGAGGTCTTTGCTGGTTTGACTGTCACTTGTGTTGAGTGGTGTACATTAAGTCACAAGTATCAGTCAGCACGCTGAAATTTCAGTGAGATAGAAAACACAGTAAAAATTGTAAAATAATAATTGTAATTGTAAAAAATTCAGAGTCATTTATTCATTACTAACACCTATTCAAGTTCAATAAATAAATGGGTTTTGGGGTTAATGCATCTTCATTTAAAGCATTACAGTTCACAGAAACATCTGACCCTATCCAAGTACAGCATAGCCTTTAAGAAGCAACAAAGAAGACAGGAATCAGATTTGTGATATTTCTAAGCATATTTCAGGTTTTTGCTGCAGAACATGAGAGCTAATTTTTTTTTTCTTCAAAAAGGTCCCTTTCAAGTCATTATTGGAAAAGGAAGTGGAGACACTTCATCTACTGTTTCCAAACTGTTATGCAAGCCTTGGAGAACATATTTTTTTAATCTCTCATTATATTCATGTATATTCAGCTTTCTGCAGGTCTCTAACACTCAAAGGTGCAGCTAAGTATCCAATGGTATATTTAAAACCAACTGTTAATCAAACTCTTTATCACACTACTCTGAATCACCAATGTGACTCTCCATGAGTAACTTCCTCAGGTGCTTAAATATCCTCAGACACTTGACCCTACAGCCATGATTCTGCAAAACATGCCCAACACACCCTCAGCTTTAGGAATGTAAGAAATCCCACCCTGCTCAGCCAAAAAATTGAATAATACCCCAAACCTAACTTGCAATCTCAGTTGGAATACAGTATTTTATTTGGACATCTTCTGTTCATGAAGAGTGTGGCATGCAAAGCTTCATTCCCATGTCTGTATGGATCCTAATTTTCCAGGGTTAAAACTTGAATCAGGTTTTTCCTTTAGTGAGGACAAGCTGCAAAGAGCAGACGACCTTCATTAAAAAGGAAATCTATAAATCCTATAGTCCTCACCTCTGCTAACTACATTGTTTGAGGTCAAAGCTGTTAACTGTGGCCTTTAAAAGGTATGTGTAAATGCAACCTTTATCCCCAAAAAACTTTGAAAATGTGCATAAACAATAACATTTTCTGATAAATGCTATGCTGTTTGACTAGATGTATGTGCTAAAGGCAAGAACTACGTGCAATAATGAAGTGCATGGGCTTGATTCTTTAATTACCTGAGTGACCCCATTACCTCCAGTGCTTTAAGGAAATTGCTGCAGGAGCAGGATCAGGCCCTTAATGGTTTGCCAGCTCCATTCTGACATTATACCCAGACAACAGTCACTGAAATTTATATTTAGTTCCATAAGAACAGTGCATTAGATATCCTTAAGTGTTTTATGAGGCAGGACTTTTCTGACTATTCTGACAGAACCACCAGTACGTGCAGAAACCGGAGCTGTGAACAAATATTGCAGTTATGATTTACAGCACAATTGCCAGAGTCTTCCCTGGCTTCATCTCTGATGGCTACTTACTCAGGCTGTCATTTTTAGCTCCACAGATTATATCTGTCTTGGCCTCTTCCACAAACACTGGATTCACTGGAGTGTGCTGCAGACAATACAGCTCTCAAACAATGAAGCATTTGTGTTCATTTTCTCCTATTTTATCTTTGGAATTCTACTATTTAGGTCACTATCTGTTGCTTCCAGCTATTCTTTCCTGAAAAATTGTAGCTCTTTTTAGGCTTAAAAAGATAAAATCAATGAATTCATCTATGTTATTCCTCTGGGTATAAAGGTCTAGATGCAATAAGTGGTACACATAGTATAAGATTACATTGCTATTCCTGAACTGCAGCCCCAAGATTAATTGTGCCTTATAGGCCAAAATTTGAAAAGCTGCTGGGTGCTGGCCTCTCTGAAAATCTGATACAACTAACACAATAAACCCCCAGTATTACTAAATTTCTCAAATGCTTTAAAGGTGATCCCTCACCAGCATGAACAGGAAGGGTGTGAATGTGTGTTTATATTCCACAACACAGAATTTTAGATACAGATAAGAAGAATAAAGATGAACAGATCCTGATCTTATCTGCCTTTCCTATAAGAAAAAAAATCCACCACAGGTTTTGCTTGGGAAAGGTATTACTTGGATTTTAGTGAGCAACATCACTTGTGAAATCCATCAATATCTGTGGAATAAAAATTATACTTTACTCAGGTATGAGGACATACAGGAATTCCATTTACATTTAAACTTAAGCTCACTGATTGCTCATGTAAAAAACTGCTATGCTCTGAATGAAAAGAAGATGAGTGCTTAAGCAAACAGTCATAAATTAATTTATAATGAAACATGACAGCCATAATTTAATTTAGAGTGTATTTAAGATTGTTGTTACTATTTGGACAGGTCTTTTTTGCCTGGAGGAAGATGTGGCTTCATAGTGAAATGTCAGCTATTGAAATACTAAACTTCTTAAGCGTACACGTGTATTAATTAATTAAAATTATGTAGATTCTTTCCTAATGAAGATCTGTTGTCTACTGCAAGCAGTCAGACAAAAGACTGCATGATTGAGGCATTATCAGTGGGTCATCAGGAACTCACCAGGAAGTACGAGGGCTGCTGAGCATAACTTGTAAAATCTGTAGGGTGGTGAAGCTGCTGCTCAACTTCCTTTCTCAGCGGTGAGGGGAGGGAGCAAGTCAAGTCACAAAAAGAAGTGATTCTATTCAGTTTGTTAACTGAGAGATGGCATGCTAGGGCATTTGGGAATAGTCAGGCTGTGACCAAAAATATCTTGGTGCTTTGTCTCACCATGAGGTAAGACACCATGCTCCCAAGAACTTGTGATTTCTATTTGGAAAGTAACGTTTAATAAAAACCAAATTACAGGCCTTTGAAGTTTAATACCTACGTTAAAAATAGGTACTTATAAAAAGTAAAATAAAAAACAAAAGTTCCTCTTCCACGATTAGATTAATAAGGGCAGGCAACGGATGCATTTGCCTCACTGACAAAACTGATGTGTTTCACACTGATCAGCTAAGAAATTCTTTAAATATGGTTAAGCAGCACAGAGGAAGTATGTGGGTTAGTAAGAAGTGACAGTAATTGGTTAAAATGGAGTTTGTGTCTTCCTCCAGTTGGAAAATTTGCAAAGGGTCCTTTCCATACCCCTTATGGAAAGATCATTCCCCTTGTTATACATTGAACTCTCTTGCTAAAAAAAGACTCTCCAACACCTACAACAGTTCCTTCCTTTCTACTTATCTCATCTTCTCCAGTCATAAGTATAATTAACCAAATTACCCTTGAAAAGAAAAATTACCCTGATTTCTCTACAGAATTATTTCTAGAGAAATATCCTGGGGAGGGAAGGGTTGCTAAGCTGAACACTGCCCTAGCAAAAGCCTCATTTTTATCTTTCTCAATAACATTTGACATTCTTGTGCATCAGTACCTTAAAGACAGTTTTATAACTCTCATATTTAATACTGATAGTAGAAGCCTCTTCTTACTGCCATTTTCTTGGCTAATAGTGCATCTGGCAAGTTACCTGATAGTTCAGATTCTCCTAGAACACCACAAAGACAAGCATATCCCTCAATTACACAGAACAAGCTACATCTTCAGGATAAAATTTTTGCAATGGTCACTATTTGGGGTTTACATTTATTTGTCATATGGACTGCACACTAGACAGTTGTGTGTTGAACTAGTTCCTCCAGAAAGGAGTTTTAATTTAAATAAATTAAAGGAAGCACTTTGTCACCAGTGTAAGCAGAAAATTGGGGCATGGAATAATTAAGAAAATTACCAAATGAGGACATTCAGGTAAGGTTCATATGGTATTCCCATTTCACTCCCTTTTACCAGTTTCTGTAGTATAGTATTTTCCAGAACAGATTAGAAAAATGTAAAAAAAAAAAGTTTAATGATGACTTACAAATATACAATACTTACATTTTCAAGAGTTACAAAAATGGCACATACTACAGAAACCAAAAGCTTCCTCCAACCTTTGGTACATTTTATAGTTATTTATTTACAAAGAAAAATTACAGTCACTTTTCATAGTGTCACATGTTTACATATAAGCATTTCTCAGTTGAAAAATATCTTGCAGCTTACCCAGAGGCAGTTTTTGCAGTTTGATCTCTACACCCATCTATCACATCAAAAATTCTATCAGCCCCTGTTAAGCTGACATGACATTGCATTTTTATGTTTCAACAGCCTTTAGTCTGAAAATATGTACAACCCATAAGGCTAAACTGATGCATAGTTGTTGAGATCCCACCTGATTTATTATATATTGCTCACGGTTTGGTAAAATGACACAGGCTACCCTTTTTAATTAGCTTGGTGATGCGTGTTTAGAAAAGGGTGTTCCAATTTTGCCAGGGTATTTCCAACTCTTCATGAAAGGAACTTAAAAAAATACAACATGTCCTTTGCAGGATGCTTTTTCACCTTATGAAACTTTTATATTAAATTTTTCCTTCTCTGTGTACATTTTTTACCTCAGGTAACAGAGATAAACTGAGCTTTCCAAAGCCTGTTCATTTCCATTAGTTTTCCAATTGTTGGATGTTTCCTAGACTGCACTTTATTTCAACCAAAACTTAAAAATTGTCTTCTACCTGAGAGCAAACTTCATTTTTTATTTCCTAGTCTGTGTGTACTTGAGGGTCTTCTTAAAGATTAGAATACTTGCAATAACACAGCCAAAATATAGTCTGTTTTTGACACCTTCATTATATGTGTATACCAATGCTCTCATGATTTTCAGACTATGCAATTTCAACATGTAACAGTACATGAACTCAATATAATCTTCATCTTGCTGAAGGTAGTTTGGGACTACACATTCACAACTTATAGTTTTTAATTAAGACTAAATACCACCAGAGTATTAGTTACGGCTCAGGTCCAGATTTTTTTACATTGAGAAACAGAAAAAAACTTGCCATCAATAGATGTGAATGGAGTTTTAAAAGTGTCTTCCAGCATTACAGTATTTCCCTCCCACAAACTTACTCCACAGAAAAAATAAACTCCAAATTCAAGCATCTTTAAAGAATGCCTGTGTTCTGGATTTTCTTCGTGCAAGAGCTTCTTGTTTTTTTCTTTCAATCTCTTCTTGAGAGCATTTTCTATTTTTCTGTTCCACCACAGACACTGTAAATAAAAAACATGTATTAGGAGCCTTCAGGTTTGTTCAATATGTATTTTAACTTATCTATTTTCAGTGTTTGAAGATCTATGGCAGGAGCACACTATTCTGACATTCTGGGCACCCACGTTAAAAATGGCTCATCTATCCTGTCCCCCAGGCAGGAAGGGGGATAAAATGCATGACCTTTGTAGTGCTACTGATTACTACCTCCCAATGAAAACACTGGGATGCAGACATTTGCTTCAAGGAAATTTTACTTGGCTGCCCTTCAAGTGAACCTTATGACATCAGGAGTCAACATAGGAGATGGTGATGGGTTAAGAAAATTAAGGCTATCAGAGTGAAAAGGGCTCTACAATTTAGTGAGTTAGGCAGAGATATGGGCATGGAGATGGTAGAGACACAGGGGTCAGATACAGTACAGGTGTCACACAAATAAAACAAGGAAGGTTGAAAAAAGGTCAAAAGTAGCAATAAAAATTGGCAAAAGAGACAAGAACATGATAGCTGAGCATAGCATTCTATATGTTGTGTTACAGAACTATAAATTCCCATGCTATAAAATCCTGACCTCACTGGAACCAACAGGAACCCTCCCTGCATATATCAATAATTTTACCACTTTCATTCACCAATTTCCAATTAATGTATTTTTAATAAGTGTTCAAACCATATAAATAAAACAAAGGGTCTCTTTGTTTCTCACAGAAAAGGTGTCTGCGAAAAATTAAACATCAGTTTTTGAAAGGATCACGCCATCTTTTTATTACAAAAAACTCACTCAAAATTCAAGATGAGGACAGTTGTTGTTTATCTGTAAAGAAAATCTATGTTATTATTTTTATTCCTTTATTCTCTAGAACACTCCACAGAATAACTAGTTATCTCCCTCCTCCCCTTCCCATTAACATCCAAAATTGCTACCTTCCATTTATCTGCTTCTTTGCTGGGAAAAAAAACACAAATAAAATACTGATTCTTTGATAAAACTGGCTGATAGCTTACAGGGATTGTTTTGTTGTTTTGTAAAAGTGTTTCCTGAAAATGGGGGTTGATATAGGACACTCTAAAAGGTGTGTTTTATCAGAATTAATACTGATTAAAACTTTGCCAAGCTGTGAGAGCAAGTGAAAACAAGACTGACCGGAACTTGATCAGTTCTACATTTCCCTAGCAAGTAAACCCAGTGCATGGAATATTCCTGACTGTCACTTGATGATGAAGAAGTGCCTGATCTCCCCTCTGGATGAAAAGGAAATGTCAGTGTTTAGACTGATAAGACAAGAATATTTCACGGGCAATTTCAGCCAGAGAGCAAACAACGATATAGGCTGAGGTTCGAAAAGCACCAAGTGATTTGAGGTTCCAAATTCCAGGTGTACAATAATATAAAAAAACTGGTATTTCATATCATCCGGTGCCTTCTCTCCCTGCCCCACCATTAACTGGGGTTTTACTATGCATCCAAATAACAGTATTTTTAAATAACAATTTAAGAACACAGTAGGCTTAGTACTGCATCAGGTTGCACTTGAGCCTAGTGATTCTGAGTGTCTGTGGAGAGAGGGTCTGAAGTACTTAGGGAAGTGGAATGAAAACGGGCAGGGATTCAAGATACGGGTCAGGACAATTTTATTTTGGAGAAAATAACCTCCAAATTCTCACTAGAACATTTGCTAACACCTACAAGAATGGATGAATATTGAAGCCTGTTGTAAGTTGCAATAAAGTACAAATCTCTCTGACATTCTGACTACAGTAAGGAAACAAACAGTAACAGTCTGAGAGTGATACAATAAAGACAAATACCTGATGAAGGCTGTGCAAAAGACTCTGAAAAGTGCCTCTTGAAAGGTGATTTCTTATTGTCAAGCTTGCTGTGCAAAGTCATGTTCACCTGATTCTTGGTTCCTTCCAAACCCTGCAGAGTAATTCCAATGCCAGAATGATTTCCTGAATTTTCACACCCTACATGAAGACCACCCTTAGAATTGTTAATCTTTCGGAACTTAAACTTTGAAGGTACGAGTGATGTTTTGTTACTAGAAGTGCTACTTGGTATCTTTCCTGTATTATACAAGAGATCTGGGCTGTCTAATGTTTTATTGCTAAAAATGTTTACTGCATCAACAGGACTTACTTCAGAAGCAGTGTCTCCTGCTGGCACAGAATTTGACCTGTACCATTTCCCCAAAACAGTCTTTGTAGTCTCTTCAGAAGCATCCTGATGACAGTTTTTTGTCAGTGTGTATTTGCCCTCTGTAGAAGGATCTGAGATCACAGTTCGAGGACTTGAGATGCTCTTACAGTTCACTGCATGACCTGTTGTGGCCAGCCCATGTATAACCTTTGATGAATTCCTACAGGAATCATTCAGAGAGAGAGCCTCCTGTTTTGCATTTGTTTTTTGTGCCAAGAGGCAATGTCCTTGTTTAGAGGCTAGGAAGCTCTTATCAACATTTGATCTGGAATTACTACTTGCTCCTTGTATAGTTTTAGTTCTTTCATTTCCTTGTTTAGCATCTTGGCTCTGAGTCTGCTTTTCTATATCATCACACACCTGATACAACAACTCATCATCCTCAAAGTTAGCATCCCAAAGGCTATCGGATCCACAAAACATATCTAACACCTCATCAGAGAATTTTGGTTCATTCCATTCGTGAAATGGCACAGGACATTTCTTTGGCATTTCAAACACTTTAGTTAGATCATTAGGTTTCATACTGGTAGAAACACTGGGTGATTGACAGGAAATAGCATGGGTGGTATTTCCAGGTTTTTCTGTCCGTTGTCTATGAGGATTAGATCTCGAAGGAAAAAGAGGGTCACTTTTAGGCTGAGTAGTTTCATTTCCATTCTTCACTTCAGATTGCACTGGAACAGAAATACAGTTCAAATCACTGTTTCGAGCACTTTTCCAAATGGAATTTATTTTATCTGGCTTAACATCACATTTGCCATGCAAGGCTGTGGTCTCTGAGTTTTCTGTCTTACATGGTTTTTGTAAAGACTGAGATTTTACATTTTGTATGTTTTTACTAGAATGTTTCAAAGGTGAACACTGCAAACTGTTAGATTTGTTTACACTCCCCAAGCAAGTTACCAAATTGCCACTACTTCTTTGCTTTGTTCTGCTAGCATCACTGAAACCATGGCCAGGTGGATTTGCAGGAATTGGTGGTGGTTCTTCAGCACTTATCAATTCAGGATTTTGGGTTATTTGCATCATAAAAGAGTCATCTGCCAAAAAATCTGTATCCCAGTCATCAAAGTCATCATTAACTACTCCAGCCAGCTTTGTGGAGTCCACCAGTTGTGTCTTCAAAGAAGGAGGATTTTTTTTTGTCATATCAGGTTTTGGTACCATGTGGTTCACACTCCCCACTGCACCTTTTTCTTGTGCCTCTGAATTACCACGTTGCACGACTTCAGTTTCCTCAAGAAGCTGCTCCTCCTCCAAGGTACTTTTGTTTTTATGAAAACTGTTATTTAAAGAAATATCTGACAGTCCTTGGCTCAGCTGCCCACTACACTTCTGGGTAGAACAGTCAAAAAGAGCATGAAGGGCTATTTCAGACTCAAGGTCTACAGACTTTTGACTGCTGGACCGACAGGGCCCTGCAGCAGGAATGCCAGTGCTCTGTCCAACTGGTTTCAGGGACAGAGCAGTATCTGTTTCAGAACCTTCACCAAGGAGTGGTATCTCGTTCTTCATGTTTACTTCATCTTTAGAATTATTCAAAGGCTCTGAGGTGCTCTGGATGAAGTTATGACCAAGCTTCTCCTGTTCCTGAACAGCATCTAGCTCTACTAGGTTTCTATCAAATTCCTTAGCCAATTTCATGAGTTCCTCTTCGGGAATTGTTATCTTAAGATCTCTGGATAAAAAAAAAAAACAAAAACAAAATAGAAAGTCAGAGCTACTGAGAGAGTTTAGCTAAGCTCAATAACATGAGCATGTGAGCTGTTCAATCTCTAGTTTAACAACTACAGAGAAGATGACCGAATCTCACAATGTGCAGTCAACATGCAATCATTTTGATAGAAATACCCCATTAAGAAGAGATAACAAGCCCAAAGCATTCTATATGCTAATGTACAATTACATGGCTCACTATATATAAAAGACCACAAATCTTTTTTCATGAAAACCCAGCTATGATGGGCAAGAAAAAACTGTAACTCACCTTGTACAACTCAACTTTGTCCTAGATCGCACTTTTACTACTCCAGGTGTATAGGGAATAGCATCCTCACCAATCCATGTTCCTAAAATGGAGCCTTCACTACAGGCTGATTTTTCATCCTGAATGATTAGATTTATAATGCTTAGAAATGTGATGTCAGATAAAGATTGGACTAGACACACACCTTGCGTGAGTTAAAGTTGCTAAACCAAGTAAACATATGAAACCTGTTGAAAGCCTCTGATAGGAGCTAAAGCAATACAAGTTAAGTGAGATTAAACTTCAATTATATTGTTTTAAAATAGGAACTTCAATTAAAATAAATGAATTTTGCTTTGGTGCTCAAATCTAATACTCTATTTACATCAGGCTTACACATATTCTGCAATATTCACGTTACAAGCTGTGATCTAGTTTACTTCAGTATATAAAACTAAGGAGCTGCCTGAGAGGCACTGACTTTATCCACTTAAAGCAGCATTAACAGATTAGAGAATTTAAAAGAAATCACATTCTGTATGCTACCAGAAAAAAAATTATGACTTCTTCCATTACAACTCACTTACACAAAAAGCCTTCAAACTGAAGTAAGTAATGTTTAGAAAGTAAACAAAGTTGTTTTAGAACTTCAAAGTTCAGGCTTGAATTTAAATTCTGAAGTCTAAGAGATATAATAGTGCACTGGTAAATTGTCTACAGCAGCAGAGCAATAGAATGTGTGAAATTACTGCATGCAAGCCAGAAAAATAAATTTGAACTTTGCTAACTACTAGGGTAGTTTGGGGTAGGTTTTCTTATTCTTTGTAAAATTAATTTTTAAAATTTATTTTTATTTAAGAAAAACAGAACATGAACAACAGATAGTTGTAAACCCTGATATTATTTACATTTATGGCAGGGCTGTAACCATTTACAGGGAAGGTAGTGGCATCCCTTACCAATGGTTTTCCAATTCTTAAGTATAATTTCTCACAAATATGCCAAACAGTGAATACAATTTAAATAGGCCTGTCAAATAAGCAGGTATGTTTTGGAAGCAAAATACTACACATCCATTTTAGGAATTACATGTTCTCTTCTTGCACTTAAAACGCAACAATAAGAAAACACTTTTATTTTCACTTTCTAGGCTGTGGACATCAGGTTCAGGGCAAGAGGGAAAGGGCAGGGATCCTAGGGTAAAAAGGCAAATTATTTAGAGTATCAAAGCAAGGTTACTCTGTTTATATTATTGTGGAGTTATCTCTCATCTCAATCCTGTTTTTGTACTTCAGCAGTCAATCAGGACCATTCAAAATGCCTAAAAACAACTGTCAAGTAAATCCAGTGTGTGAAAAACTCTTACCTTTGAACAGATGAGTGATTAAGGATAAATAAACAAAACAGTATTCCTAAAACCAGGGGCAATAACTTGCATTCTGACAGTAAACCTTTCTAAAATGGAGCTGCTGCAAGCCCACTTTCTTAATGCATCTTTTTTTACAGTATCTGTGACTCACAGAGCAACCAGTCAATGCTACACTTACAATTCTAATTCAATCCAGTTTTATGAACACTCTACTAATTTTCTACACACCCAACTCTTACCATGAAACTACTGTAACTAAAACTGAGGCTTAGGCTGAAGCACTGTTCTGTTTGATTACTGCATATGCAGAGAGTTGGTTTAGAAAGTAACAATTACCTGAGGAGCAATACGATTAACAATTTCCGAGATTTCTACTGCGCACCCACTGGTGGACTGTTTGGTTTTTCCACTGCCTATGAAAACAAACAAACAAGCAAACAAACTTCTCAAAAATTGCAAACCAATTCAATTTATCTCAATTCAAATCTATGTGTTAAAATCAGAGCTTGATTCAGTGTTATATTGAAGAATGTATGGTTTTTTAATAAAAATAAAACCAAACAACTTAGCCATTATAAGAGAAAGGGGCCTTTTTCCAAGAAATCTTTGGTAACTTTTAGTACACTCACACTGCACGCCTCAAACAGGTGTCCTGAAGCCTGGATTTTGATCTTACCTAGTCTGTGTGCAACTGGTGAATGAGAATCCCAAAAGATTTCTTGCTGTGTATCAGTGTCATTAACAGGAGAGCTGAAAGTAGGTATTCGGGATTTCCTACTCAAGGACCTCTTTGGAGTTTTATGTAAACATGACTCTGTGTAAACAGAAAGAGGATACTTATTAAAAAACAACAAATAAAAGGCCCAAATCACTTAGAACATACAACAGGTCAAGGCATAAGAAGATCATTTAGGAAATTCAAGAATAAAAATAAAGCTTACACTCATCAGCACTATTTATTCACAACAGGAATATTGTTCACAACTAGACATTTAATGCAGAATAAGACTCTAAGCTTTGCCAGTTACATCATCACAGATATAACAAGATCCTGAGAGCTACACACTCAGCATCTGATGGTAGGGATGGGAACTGTCAATCCTTCCACTTGAGAGAATATTCAGCTTACATTAAAAGAAAAAAACTATGTATACCTACATGAGAAAATATTTTATATTCTTGCTTGCTTTGGATCTTTCACCCAGACTGATTTGAGCTACAACTTTAATGGGCCTCCAAACTGCTCTGGGTCATAACCTACCTTCGTCTATACTTCCTCCCCTGGGCCTTTCCACCTTGGACTGTTAGAAGCAGCAATATAGCTATTCAAAACCTGCTTGCAGCTGCCTCTGATCAGTAAGTGAACTGAACACACTATGTGAAGCTCAGTTGGTCACCCCTGCCCTTTAGAAATGGTGTTACAGATGTGAAAGCCTACAGAAATAATTTAAAAGACGCAATTACTAGGCGCAAGAAGTGTCTTAGGAGATGTTTTGCACTGAAGTGCCCAGCGTGGCCAGGTTTTATCCTCTCCTAGAGTGGATCAACAGCCTCAGCTACTTCTTAGTGTCTCAGTGCCACGGGAATCACAGAATCATAGAATGGGACAGGCTGGAAGGGACCACAGTACGTCATCTGGTCCAACCTCTCTGCTCAAGCAGGGCCATCCCAGAGCACACTGCACAGGATTGCACCCAGATGGTTCTGGAGTATCTCCAGTGTGGGAGACTCCACAACCTCTCTGGGAAACCTGTCCAGTGCTCAGTCATCTGCACAGTAAAGTTCTTCTTTATATTCAGGTGGAACTTCCTGTTCATCGGTTTCTCCCTGTTGCCTCTTGTCTTATTGCTTGTGACCACCAAGCAGAGCCTGGACCATCCTCTTGACACCCCTGCTTTAGATATTTATACACATTAATGAGATCCCTTTTCAGTGGTCTCGACGCTGAACAGGCCCAACTCCCTCATGAGAGAGATGCTCCAGACCTTTGACCAACTTGGTGCCCCTTCTGCTGGACCTGCTCCAGGAGCTACACATCTCTCTTGTCCTGAGGAGCCCAGAACTGGACACAGCACTCCAGATGTGCCTCACCAAGGCTGAATAAAGGTGCAAGATCACCCCCTCGACCTGCTGATAGCACTCTTCCCATTGCACCCCAGGGCACCAATGGCCTTCTTGGCCCCAGGGCACACCGCTCTGGACAAGAACAGCCCCTTCCCAGGGCACAGGGGCGGGGGAGGAACGGGGGTTTCACACCGCGCCTCCTCACGGCTCGGCCGCGCCCCCAGGGCCGGCGGCAGCGCCGGGGCCCGCAGGGGCCGCTCCCGCGTACCTGCAGCGCGGGGCGCGCACCCGCGCTCCGCCGCGGCAGGCTCGGCCCGTGCCGCCTCCGCCGCCTCTCTTCCTCCTCCTCCCTCCGCCAGCCGCCGGCTGAGCTGCTCCCGCCGCCGCTGCGCTCCTCAGGGCGGCGGCGGGCCTGAGGCGAGCCCCTGCGCCGGCTACCGGCATGGCGCTCGCTGCGGCGGCGCCGCGTCCCTCCCGCCACTGCCGCCGCGGGCACCGCCGCCATTTTCCCTGGGCAGCCCGCCGCCGCCGCTGATTGGCCGCCGCCGCGCCGCCTCGAGCGCCCATTGGCTCCGCGCGGCGGAGGGGAGGCGGACGCGGCGGAGAACTGCGGCCGCCCCCGCCCGCCGTGAGGCGTGCGCGGGTCTCTCCGCCCGGCGATGGGGTGCTTCGTTCACTCCCATAGTCCGGGGAAATAAAAGCTCAGTCCGCCGCGGCATTAGGGGTAGAGCGTGCCCTCCAGTGGGCCTTGGCCGTCGGCTTGTCCTGAGGTGCCCCGAGTTTTGCCATTGGCAAATTTTGCCATTGGCAAATTTTGCCATTTTGCCATTAGCAGATTTGCGGAGGACACCCGGTTGGGTGGGACTGTGGATCTGCTGGAGGACAGGAAGGCTCTGCTGAGAGGTCTGGCCAGGGTGGATCGATGGACTGAGGCCAATGGCGTGAAGTTCAACAAGGCCAACACTTTAGCCCACAACGTCCACCTGCAGTGCTACAGGCTCGGGCAAGGGTGGCTGTAAAGTGGCCCAGAGGGTTGACAGCAGCTGAACATGATGCAGCTTTTGCCCAGGAGACCAAAAAGGCCAATGTATCAGAAAAGGCCTATATCAGAAAATAGAGTGGCCAGCGGGACCAGGGAAGTGATTCTTCCCCTGTACGCGGCACTGGGGAGGCCACACCTCGAGTACTGTGTCCAGTTCTGGGCTCCTTGCTTCAGGAGGGAGGTGCTGGAATGAGTCTAGAGAAGGGCAATGAAGCTGGTAAAGAAGAATCTATGAAACGATTCTTATTAAGAACAGCTGAGGGAGGTGGGGGTGTTTAATCTGGAGAAGAGGAGGCTCAGGTGGTGACCTTATCACTTACTACAACTGCCTGAGGGGAGGTTGTAGCCAGGTGGGGATCAGCCTCTTTTCCCAGGCAACAAACATCAGGAAATGGCCTTTAGCTGCACCAGGGGAGGTTTAGGTTGGACGTTAGGCAGAATTTCTTCACAGAGTTATTAAACATTAGAATGGGCTGCCCAGGAAGGTGGTGGAGTCACCATCCCTGGAGGTGTTTAAGGAAAGACTAGATGTGGCACTCAGTGCCATGGTCTCGTTGACATAGTGGTGTTTCATCACAGGTTGGACTTGATGATCTCAGGTCTTTTCCAACATAATTGAGTCAGTGATTCTGTGAAACCTAGCAGGCATAAGCCATTTCAGCTCAGTAAGGAATTGGGGCTGGCAAAGAAAGGCTTACAGAAGCCAGATTTGGTAGGTAAGAAATTAACATGAGGTTCCTGAGGGCCTGTGGTATTACATCATTATTTCAAATAATATAAATGCAAACACATGTATATATTACTTCATGAGGTGGTTATTTCCTCCCCGAGCCACTAAATGTAAGGGTACAAACATATCTACCAAGAATATAGGGTCAAGGAGTGAACTACTTGATAATTGGTCACCTGCCTGGTTTTCATTTAATCAGTTTGGAGCACTTCGGGATCGCACTTCATTTGTAAGATGTGAGCAGTGGGTTTCAGTTGAGGATCAGGAGTAAGAAGTATTGAAGTCACTAAAGGGTGATTCCCTGAGCCACGAAACCTTTTCTTTTCACCTGAGGCCGCAGTGAAATTATATGTTTTTTGACTTCTCTATTCTCATGAGTGTAATTAAAGTCAGTAGAAGCTGTTTTAACAAGGAAAATAAGTACTGTGTATTAAACCAAGAAATTATATTATATACATGGTTAAATTATCACAGTTAATCACAGGGAGTTGTGACATTTGAATAATCAATTTATGCCATATCTATCAAATATAAATTGGAGACAAGACTAGAAAAACAGGGTCAAGAACTAGAATCCAAAATCCATCATAGACATCTGAATATGGCTATTACCTTGTAATCATACCAATGTGGGTAGATCTGTGCATCAGCACAAAGTGTGGTGAAGGTGTGTGTGACATTTTTGACTGCTAGTTTGCAATATAGTAATTAAAAATTATAATGCATCACACAGGTACAGAAATGGCTTACCTGGACTCCAAGCCACAGGCACTATGTCAGTTACTTGCTTCTTATTTCCAGCTGAAATGGATATGGAGAAGAAACTTTTTACAGCAGTGGTAGATACATCTTGAGGGAAAGAGAAACACTGAAATCGGCACAGTTACTGGAAAGTGCCACTAAAATCTTGATGTCTCCTACTACCTCCCAGTGACCTCTTGGCAGCTGGGTACTGTAAAGTGTTCTGCTTTTACACTCCACTATCTTAACAAGCATAGTTTGAAATACTGTCATCAATAATTAAAATTAAGTGACATCTGTCATAGTCATTGAGTGCTATGAATTTTTCTTCCTTTCTCCAAGCTCATTGTTCACTAACCTCATTCATAAAATGTGAGTATTTGACATAGATCTTTCACACATTTGTGAGGTTTTACTCATACAGTGAAAGCTTTTTTTTTTAATTTTTTTTTTTTTGGGGGGGAAGCATATTTAATGTATATCTTGTTCTGCATGAGAAATCTTGTTGTATCAATTTAAGCCTATGTAAGGTTATGTAACCAAAGGTTGGCAAAAAAAAAAAAATAAAAAAAAGAAATCTGCATATACAGAAAGAATGAACTAGTTTATGATGGGGAAAAAAAAAATCCCACTTTCCTAATGAATAAAAGTGTGTGTGCCTCCTTGCAGCTTAAGAACTCAACGCTGAGCCAGTGTTGTTTATTAAGTTAAGAAATGTAGTGGTAGAAGCCTGTGATGTTGGAGGGTTTCTCTGTGGAGCTGTAGCCTCAAGGAGGAGGGAGTTTGCATTCCCTTGTCATGGCACGAGCAGCTGGATCAATGGCTAATTGTGGCGAGGCTGCGTTCCAGGGACTTGCAGCAAACTCCTTGTGCTGCAGTTGTGAGTCCTACTTTCAAATCAAGAGGGATAAATAATAGAGGAGATTGAATGAATAATAAAGTTAGTTCAGTTTTTAATAGTGATTTAAACTGCCCGAGAAATTTTCACAGTGTTTTGTGAGACAGGGATTTAAAATGAAACAAAATAAATGTGCAAGATCTGAGAAGTTTCCTAAGAATTTCCCATTGGTGTAACGAGAGCATTGAAAATAAGAGTGGAAAAAAGACTCCTTTTAAAAGTTCTTTGAACACAGTGAGCATTTTTATCTCGGAAAGACTATGTCTCATTAGTGAGTTTTTTTCGAAATATCTAATGTATCACATCAATGTAACTAACAAAGGGAAGTGACTTTATGTTATAGTTCATCTTTCATTCTTGTTAGGGCTGTGAGAAAGGGAAAATCAATAATAGTGATTTCAATGAAAATATCAAGATTTGTGAGAGGATGGAAGTTATTATAAATAATGAAATTAATTTGACAAATACTAAATTTTTTCCAGTATGTTTCAAAATGCTCTGTGATATTTTCAAAGTGAACTGTCTTGGGCTTTTTTCCCCAAACTACATTTTCATTTCAAAATTGATTTCTTTTTAACCACTGAAAAAGAAGGAAGCCAAACACGCAAACACACACACACACACACACTCTCTCTCTCTCATAATTTGTCTCCAGTGAAAACATGTGTGTATGCATTTTGATCACCTGAGACCAGGTGAAAAGGCAAATTCTCCGAGCCATATTTTCCTTGTGTATTTTATTTTAAAAAATGGTGTGAGTACAAACTCTGAAACTCAGTACAAATATATAGTACTTTAAAACATGTTTTCTCCCGGGGAAGGAGCACTTCAATAAAGAGTGGGTGTAACTACACATGTGTTGTTGAGAATTTCTGGAGAGGGTGGCTCAGCAATGCTCAGGAATGTGCAGAGAGACACTGAGGGATGTAACTGGGGTACCTGAGATCTTCTAGCCAGCCTTGCCCCTTACTGCACCATGGGGGATAGTTATCCTGGGGATAACTATGGAAACACTGAATTCAGGAGCTAGGTGAACTATATAAATGAGAATTTAGATGCTTAATGTAAGATGCAATTATAAACACAACCCTGTGGACCCAAACAAAAATAAACTGAGACACTGTTATAAAATTTAAATATGAAAGTGCATTTTTTCAGCAACAATTTCCCACCTTCTTCCCTCCCAGAAATCCTACTGATCTATATCTCCTCCTAAGAAGCCTTGAAGTGTTTACTAAAGTGGAGCACTACATGATAGCAGATAGTTTAAACAAGTTAACAAGAAGAGATATGTTTCTTTTGCCTTATTTGGGCCTTTAGGAAAAACTCAGAGGATATCTGAAATGTTAACTTAATGGACAATAATTTTTTCCTTCCATAGGGAAACCCAGGCATCACATGTATATTTTTGCTGTTATTAATAGCATTTTGATAGCACAGTTATAGAGCTTGTCCTTGGCTTGTCTTGAAATATCATACTGACTTCACTTATTATAGAATGTTACTTTAATTTTCCAAGGTGAAATGCTTGCAGAGCAGAAACTGGTGAGGAAAATATGGCCAAAACAGTTACATATACCTTTATTTTTAAAGTGCTGTCCAGAAGGGTTTGCAGCAATTTTTGCTGATGCATAAATTGACCTAGACAGTAAATGATACACGGCCTTAGAAATACCTGAAGCAGCCTTGCTTGGGAATTTTTAGTAGAGAGTTATTAAATGTCAGAGTAATTTACACAAGCATAGTCTAGTTTATGCTTTTGCATTCTCCTTCCCTCTTTCTCTCCACTGTGCCAACCGAGAACTAAAGGAGCTTTAAAAATATTTTACATATATTTCTTTCCTTTTTTTTTTTCTCCTTTTCATAGAGGTTCAGATGTTTTATTTATCACACTCAGAAAACCTCATTGAATGTGGGACAATAATGTATCTCACAAAGACCCGATCCAGCAGAGCACTTAAGTACCTGCATAACTTCATCGTGATGACATTTTCCGTTGATCATTAACTGGCATTTAAAGAAAATATTCCATTGCTTGGTGTCTGGGTATTCAGAGGAAATTATCAGCCAAAATGAGTGAGCCATTTAGAAGAA